CCTACGGTATCAAAAGAATTGAGCTCTGGTGGAACTCTTTCCGTGTTATCGAGCCCTAGGTGACTTGGTATGTTGGAGTATCTCCCAGAAATTTTCGTACACATCTGGACGTCGCGACGAGTACAGCTTTCTGCATGGCCTTATTTCTAAAGATGTTCATTTAGACCCAGATGTTTTATGTTCGCTAGGAGGTTTTTGGGAATAACACCAGTAGTAGATAGAACAATAGGTACTGTCTGGGTACTTTCCATTCTCCATTGTCTCTTGATTTGTATTTCCATATCTCTATACTTGGCGATCTTTTCGTTGTATTTAGCACGCAAATTGTTAGTGTTAGATATCGCCACATCAATAAGTGTTGTTTGCCTGGTAATTTTATTCACTAGTATGAGATCCGGTCTATTATGGGCCACTGGTTGGTCTGTGAGCAAAGTGCGGTCCCAGTATAGCTTGTAGTTGTCATTTTCAAGCATTCTGCCAGGGACATATTGATAAGAATGAAGATGGTCGGTTTGGAGAAGTCCCAGTTTGTCAGCTAGTTCTTGGTGGATAACCTTTGCAACTAAGTCATGGCGTTCTTTATAATCGATACCGACAAATGCCTGGCAGCCATCGGTAAGATGTTGGATGGTTTCTTGGGCTTGGCATCCATATCGGCATTTGTCATTTTGGACTTGAGGATCTTTACCAATATATTTTAGGTAATTTTTAGTTGGAATTACCTGATCCTAAATGGCATGTAGGAAACCCTCAGTTTCGGGAAACATCTTTCCTGATGTCAACCAATAGTTCGACGATGTATTGTCGACATATTCTTGGCTGATCTCATTGATATGTCGCCCATGCAGAGGTTTACTCATCCAGGTGCGCATTTTTTCTTTCTTAGTCAGATGGTTTATGCGCATTTCTTGGTCCCTCAGTTTAAGCGGCGTTGTGTCATCTACTGCGCAAATTGCTCGATGTAAAGTAGACGTCTAAGCCTGTACCTGAAAATAAGTTCTTAAATTAGCAATTTGTTTATCTAATTGCTCATCTATATCCATAGGTCCTCTTCCTCCTTGATACCACGGCAATGTTGTTCTCTCTACTGCACTGCGTGGATGATGTTTTTGCGCCTTTGTGAGAAGTGTTCTTACTTTCCACTGAAGACCCTCTATATCCGTTTTTGACCACTTTATAATACCAAATGAGTAGCTCAGCGCGGAACAGGCGTACGTATTTAATGCCTTAAACAAATTTTTACTATTAAGATATGACCGATTTAGTTGTCTTACTCTTCGCACGAACTCCGAAGTTAGTTCCGTTTTCATTTGTTTATGGTCAATTTTCCGCGCTTGTTTTACTCCGAAATATTTGTAAATATTATTTTTACCCATTGCCTCGATGTTTTGGCCATCTTGCATATCGAAACCTCCAGGCTGAACCTTTCCTCTGACTATATTTAGTATACGGCACTTGTCTAGTCCAAAATGCATACTAATATCATTTGAGAAAGTTTCTACAGTTTTTAGCATCTGATCTAGGTGGTTTGGAGTGAAAGCCATTAACTTCAAATCGTCCATATACAACAGATGATTAAGCTTTACCACAACAGTGTTATAATTTTTGATGCTAAATTCTAAGTCAGTGAAGTTCAGCACGTGAGATAGTGGGTTCATCGCTAGGCAGAACTAAAGTGCACTCAATGAGTCCCCCTGGAAAAGGCCCCGGTTAATAGCGATATCTTTAGTTTCGATAATGGTTTCACCAGGTATTTGACGGTGAATTTTAGTTTTTTACCTTGTCATTATATGCTTCAAAAAGGTCACGAGATTATCATCGACTTTATATATTTTCAATATATCTATAAGCCATTCATGCGGCACTGAGTCAAAAGCCTTCTTGTTGTCAATGAAGGGAGTAAAAAGGTTTCTTTTTTTGGTGTATGCCTCGTTAGAAATGACTGAGTCAATAATAAGTTGTTCTTTGCAGCCCATGGAGCCCTTAACGCATCCTTTCTGTTGAGGCTCTATGATATCGTTCAGAGCACAGTGTTGGTAGATACGCCGGGCCACACAGGATGTGACCAACTTGTACAAAGTTGGAAGACAAGTAATTGGGCGGTACTTGGCTGGATCTTGGGTGTTATTTTGATCCTTCGGTATTAGATAAGTGGTTCCCTGAGTAAGAAATGATGGTATTTCCTGTAAATTAGAAATAATATTATTAATAAATACTGTTAAAAGCTCATGAACACTCCAAAACTTCTTTAACCAGAAGTTTTGAACTCCATATGGTCCAGGAGATTTCCAGTTATGAAGCTCTTTTATGATGTTCAAGACTTCTTTAGTGGTGAAAGGTTCATAAGGAATATTCCTGTAGTGTTGACAATTGTTTGCCGTGTCTTCAATCCATCCAGCATTGTTGTTATGAGTAGCTGGCGTCCAAAGTTGATTTCCCCAAAACTCATGAATTTCTTCTTGCCTTGGGTAGGATTTATTTACATTTTCTACAGTGAAATTTAGTTTTCTATAGAAAGCCTTCTCCGAATTCTCAAAAATTATATTGTCGCATTTACGGTTGTTACTAACTTTGTATCTCCTTAAGCGACCTGAATAAACGGAGAGTTTTTGTTTTAATGTGTCTAGACAGTGTTGAGCTGTGTTGTTTTCTGCATCATGTTGTGTTTCTTACAAGAGTTTATTTTTGGTAGCGGTGGTCTGCTAAGTGGGTTTGTATCATTAAACTCTTGTATGGCACGTGCCATTTCTCTTATCAGGCCATCGTGCAACTCGTTGTTGTCTTGCCGGGTATTAACAGGTTAAGTGTCTTGTATAAGGGGCTCAGGAATCTGCTCATTAGGGATTTTACTATGGTCTTGCTCCACAACTAGCTCTTGGTTATGAATCTCCCGTTCGACTTCACTTCTGATGGTAGCGCGTCTAGCCTCTGGGATAAGATTATTTCTTATAATTACCCGGTATTGATCTGCTATTCGCTGTTCAGATACTTCAATCTCTGGATACTCCCTGCAAAATTCGGCATAAAGTTGTTGTCTATATCCGATCGTTTCTCGACCGAGGTTCGTCACCTTTGAATAGAAGCGCAAAATGTTTTCATTTATAGACACAGTCCATTTCATGCGCTGCCTCGGTCGTCCCGCTTGGGTGAGCGCCCGCTGATGTTCCAGCGAAGTACCTTCAGCGAGTGGACCTCTTGTTGTTGTTTGGCTCACTTGTGGTTGTTGTTGTAATTAATTATTTATTATTATTATTATTAACATAGGGTTAATAACCGATGTAATAAAGAGTAATAAAATAAAACGCATATAAGTATTTTCAGTAAGCTCTTTATTGTAAAGCATGAAAATCATAATTATTAACAAAAATCTGTTTTATTTTTAGGATATACGATTTTTTTTGTGTGATTACCTAGTGAATACACAAACAAATCTGATGGTTTTCCAACACGGAAACAGGCAACATATAATTGACATGTGAGAAACATGGGTTTTCTAGATTAATACCACAAACACCTAATGATTGCCCCTGGGACCCATTTATGGTCATAGCAAAAGCAAGCCGAACTTTAAACTGTAGTCGTTTAAATTCAAATGGTATATCAGTCCAAATCATTGGATTTATATTAAACGTCTTCTCCTTTATACTTTCCTTTCAGTATAGTGGCTTCTATCACGTTGTACAATAATTTTTATCGCTAACCGTGTTCCGTTGCAAAGACGCGGTTGGTTGATATTTCTCTATTTCTTTGTATCGCGCGAAATCTTTATTTCTTTATGTCGCGTTCCGAAACTAAAACAAAAGAAAGAATATTGCGTGGCCAATCAAATCTATAGCTCTTACATTTTTTGACTTTTGAATTTGGTGGGGTTCACGATACTATTACTTTTGTGTGAACGCATTAGATCCTCCAACGCGAACACGCACACACATACATTTGATTGAATTTGAATTTTGTGCAGTGACAATAAAGCGCAAATTGAATCTTCGACGTTAGGAACACACCAACATTGTATAGATAACAGTGAGTGCTTATAATTCTACATTTAGTTACAAAATATTTGTATGGAAAAAAGAAAAGAGCTTTTTTAGGGTTTTCCCGGAAATTATTCAAATTTATCATGCCGTAAAAACCATCCTTAGAGTTCAAGGAATATTTAAAAAAAATAATTGTTAAGAATGGTCCGTGCGTTGTTGAATTATGCGTTAACCAACATATTTTGCGGTTCATTTATATATTATAGATTTAGAATTAATAGAAGTAGGCAATAAGATTGCGTAGAAGATCAATAAGCATACAAATGTTAAAAATACTAAAACAGACAAGAATGAAAATAAATAAAAATCTAATTAGAATAGAAGATTATATTGAAGTAATAAATCTTTTCACAATATTTATTACTTATAACATGTACCATCTGTGCAACGCGTTTTTGCGAATTGTTTTGGTAAGCCTAACTAGATTTGATAAGCATTAGAAGCTAATTATTTCGATTAATTTTAACACTTTGGAAAAATGGTCTTCTCGATACATATACAAATTTTTAAAAACAGTTAAAATTAAAATTAGAACACCAGTTACTACTATTTAGTAAATAATTATTTCACGGGTAACCAGTTAACTTTGGTTTAAATTATTACCTTGATTGCTTTAAAAGTTCTGCAAACATTTGTTTGTAAGAAAATATTATTAATTTATACCGTTTAATCGTTGATTTTGTTATTTGTCTTTTATTTATTTAGCGTATTATACATGAAAATATATTTCGTAAGATTTCAAAATATTCTGAATGATTTTTAATCAATAGTTTTGTTTGTAGTAGATATTATATTGTAGATAGAAAATAGATAGTTCTAGATAAGCCAGATAATTTGTTTTTAAATAGCAGGCGATAAGATTTATCTCAGTGTTGTGTCGCTTATTTAAAATATTGGACACTACCGTTGATGTGCCTAAACGTGTACAATTAATTGTAAGAACTATTTTATAAAAGGTGAAGAATGGTCGAGACATTTAGCAAAGATGAACTACATTCTTGGATCCAGCGTTCTATCGATACAGGAAACTTTACTTTTACCGTTGAAAATACGACCCAAAAAGGAGAGGGTTACATAGGAGAATTGTTTTTTGTTAAAATTGATTTACTACAGCCAATAAATGGAAAAGATGTTCTTTATCTAGTCGTAAAAACGAACAAAAAGAATCCTGGATCAGAAAAATCTATTTCTATAGTGCAGGATCTTTGCAAGAGAGAAGTATTTTTTTACAGCACTATTCTTAAAGAATACCAGGATTTTCAGAAGAACAAAAAGCTTCCTGTTTTTTTCGACATGGTACCCAAGTGTTATAAAACGTTTTCAGAAATCGATAACGAAGTTGTAATTTTAGAAAATTTAAAGAAAAAAGGCTATATGCTACATCCAAGAGAACAGCCCATGAATATTGCACATCTGGAAATGGGCTTAAGATCTTACGCAAAGTTGCATGCCATGTCTTTCGCTTTGAAAGATCAGAAGAATGAAATTTTTGTAAATATATCGAAGACCTGTACTTCGTTATTAAACGAGATGTTTTTAAACTTTAAAACATTGTTTGACACAAAGACGCGTTTGTTAATAGAAACTCTAAAAGAAGCTGGTAGACCTGATTTGTCCATTGTGTATGAAAAGTATATAAACGATAAAAGTATTTTTGCCAGATTTATGGAAGTGAGTAATGCTATTTCCAAAGATCAAGCACTAATTCATGCTGATTGTCACAATGGAAATATGATGTTTCAATATAAGGTACGTAATTAGAATTTTCCAATTTGGTATTTAAACGTTTCAATAATCGTTACGTTCATACATTTTTCTTTAAATATTTCTTTTCGTGTATTAGATCTTGTACAGTTGTTGCTATTATATCGTTTATTACTAGGGTCCAAAACTATTTAACGCTGCTCTAGTGGCTCTTCATAGCAGAACGCCAGTAGTGGCGACAAGTCTGACAAAGCGGGAATTCAATAGTTTATTAATTAGACATTAAAACAACACTGGTATATTATCTAGCTCTTCCGCTTTATGAATATGATATAAACAATAAAATGTAAGTAGGGTCAAATAAATATTATAATATTACAAAATAGTTGATAAAGGATTAGTTAATATTTTATTGGACCCAAACATAATTGAATAAACAGGTCGATGTTTGATGTTTATACAGTTAAGTCCATGATTCTTTAGCCGTGCTTTATCATTTAAAATATACGAAATAATTTGGAAATTTATCCCACACAACAGCAAGTGAAAAAATTTGACGTTATTAAGTAAATATGTAGAATATAAAATGTAGTTTTGCTTAAAAACGATTAAAGAACCTTAATAGATTCTTTTAATATAAATAGAAATTAATAAATAAATAAGCAATTTACAACAAAAATATAATTACATATACAATAATATTTATAGTGTGTTGATGTTATAAGTAATGGTAAAATTAATTAAAGGACAAAATGCTTTCTTGCTCATATAATATTACAAATATAATATTGTTTCAAGATTTTGAACGTAAACTTTATTCACATTAATTATAAGAACTGACTTATGCAGAATTAAAAAGTACCCCGCTGATAAAGTCGACGCCATAAAGTGATTTGCCTCTTCGGGTAAATAGTCAAAAGGACCGGCTTAACGAATTTTATATTTTGTTTGGCATTTACATTACAATATTTAATTTAAATAAATATCTAGATAATTAAAAAGAAATACATAAACCGATTGAGTATTAGAATTATTTAATTATTATATTTTTAGATTGACACGATACCTATGAACGGTGTCGAAAACAAAATATCAATGTACCATGAAACAGTGTTAGTTATACATAATATAACTACAGCCAAACGATTCAAAAACGTTCAACCGTGACTTTCAATCCTTACACCGACAACTCTTCTCATAGCCCACACTTCCCACTTTGTTCCACCTTCTTTGCCTGACTTTCCTCTATAAATGTCCACACCTTTAATCCTATTCAATAATTGTGTTTCTTTAAACCACCACTCTCTTTACACTATTGTCACACCCGCTCCCAATTTTTCCGACCCTATTGTTAACTTCATAACAATCATAACCATCCACATTCATCATATCTCACTATTTGATCATTTTCTCTACTCTTCACGTCTACGTCATATCCCTGTCTATTCTACTTTCTTTTATTTCTCTGTCATTTCATATATCAACCATCTACCCATTAGTTCTAAACTCAGTAATCATTTAAACATAATCCAACAATTCATCAGAATTCACTATTTTCAATTTCACAAAATCCTTGCTCAACCATTGCTTACCTCTCTTAATCAACAACTTAGGACAGTACACACATCCATCAAATTTCAGGTTTTTATAAACCGAATTTAATACAACCAAAGTAGTATTTGTTCAAGGTTCTAGATGCTTCCAGCATGAAGGATCTCTATTATCTCTAATTTGTTGATTAACTCTTTTATTTTCCTTAAACCCCCCTCTCTCTTTAGTCATTTCCTTTATTTTTATTCTTATCAAGTCTCTAAGGAGCTCAGCCTTCTCATTTTAAATTTAATTTCATAGGTTATAACTTTAATTTCTTCAGTCGGAAGATTTTTAACCCTTAATCAATTTATTGGACTCACTTATATTAACCGTTTTACCATACGGGGAGTCTTAAACAATTTTATTTAAAAATGAGGTCTTATATTAGCTACAAATATATACAATTCAATTTTACCTTGTCCTAGATGCGATCAACATAAAGGACAATATCATATATATATATAAGCTAATCAGTCACAAATTACACTTTTTAGACCACACTCCATACGACAAAGAGTAACATAGGCTACCTAATGCATACTTCATTCTCTTAAACATGACCTTTAACTCCATAGGTAATTTTACATCTTTTATATCCAAAATTCAATAATTAAAAAAACTTTTTAAATCCCAACACCTGGATTGCTGTTATCATTTTTAACGTCACCAACATTTTTAAATCGTTTGACTGTAGTAATATTATGTATAACTAACACTGTTTTATGGTACATTGACATTTTGTTTTCGACACCGTTCATAGGTATCTTGCCAATCAGTTACCAGCTGAAGTCCGTTTGAAGAGGTCTACTCTCCGGACGCTGGTACTCACGTAAGGCTTGGGTGTATGTTACCTGAAGTAAAATATGATTAAATATTAAACATCAATTATTATTAACAACAATATGTACAATCTTTGGTAACCTTATTTACTTTAAAGGGTTCTTACCCTAATATTTTGGTGTCTCAGGCATGTTAACCTGTAAGTATAACCATTTTGCTTTTTTAAGCTTAGTAAAAATTTTCAACCACGTTTGCTTTAATTAAATGGTTTATACTTATTTTAGGCTTTTTAACCTGATGATGGAATTATTATTCTGAAAACGTTCGTGTTAATTTGATGTAGCCGTTTTAAGGGTTTTTTAAATATACCCACTTACAAATACCTCTTTTTATTTATTGTGTCATTTTAATTTGATTGTAGGAATTAAAAATTATATTTAAATTTAGATTCATGGCCTTTTAATGATGTGTCAGTCTTCTTAAAGTGCCTTCTCCATTACTGAAGGTTGGCTATAACTACCGAAAATTGCTCTCTATCTTGAATTGTTCTTAGTATAGAAAGATAGATGTGTCAGTAGGAGCATAAATTTTTAATTTTATTTCTAATTTTTTGCAAATGCAATAATATTTTTTTATTTACTTTTTACTTTAAATGTATTATTTAATTATTAGAAGGCCATGAATCTAAACTTGGACATAATTTTTAATACCTACAAACATTGTAAAATTACATTTTCTTGCATATCTAAATTTAAAATCACTTTCCTCTTCAGTATTAATTTAAAATTTTGATTTTCTCTATCTACCACTTAATATTTTATAATAATATTGATTAATGATTTCTATGTGATGCATAATCTTTAATAAGGAATGATTTCCAATGATAAAGAATGATAAAGAAATTTTCCATTTTTTGACAACTTTTTCAGACATAAAACGGAAAACTTAAACATCACAAGTCAACATGACTAAATTAATAATTATGAACCTTCTAAAACGGTACTCACCGGCGGGACCGCCGTGGTTAGAATACAATTAGCGTCTCTTTGTAAGGACTATGAAGTCGATTTTACTAAAGTAATAAGACATTTGCTCAAGACAGAGACTTCACATTCCTCCTCTGAGTTAGTAATAAGTTATACTCTAAAAAAAAACATTGTGAAATTGACTGGCCAGTTGGTTGTGGAAACAAGTGCCAATAAAGCACAAAACATACACACAAAACGAGTATACATATTACACCACATAGATAATATGTCAAATCTGTGTCACTATCACTGTCGTCTCTTAAATTGATGATAATATTTTGTATTTTACATGTAGGAAAATATGAATTCTTAGCTTTAATGATATGTGAGATTGCTTCACTTTTAATTAGATGCAGGACAGATGCATTTCAATGTGGCAAAATATTATTTCTTCGAACTCTTGACTTAAGTTTATGCCATATATGTTCGATTGGGTTAAATAAACAGTAATATGATAAAAGTCTTAAAATCGTAGTATTCTTTTTTTAAAGCGATACTTTTTAAAATGTCCTAAAATGGCAACCTAAAAAACTACAGACCAATTGCGATTCTCTCTGCCATCTACAAACTATTAGAGAGGCTTATATATAATAGAATCAGTACAGAATTATTCCAGGTGATCTTAGCCAAAGAAGCGGGTTTTCGACCAGAACTAAGCTGCGCGGACCAGGTAATGTCAGTCACCACCTAGATCAAAGCGGGTTTCCAAAGAAGACTTAAAACTTCAGTGGCATTTATAGACTCCTAAGCAGCTTACGATACAGTACGGAAAGAGGGCCTTATATACAAAATTCTCCGTGCAATCTCCTGTAAACCAATAGAATGCCTAATAAATAGCATGCTCAACGACAGAATGTTTCAAGTAGTGATAGGCACAGATATCATCTTACCAAAGAAACTTAAGAATGGCCTACCACAGGGAGGTCAGTGCTCTCTCCGCTACTATTTAGTTTATACTTAGCAGATATGCCGGAAACACAATCAAGAAAGTTCGGATACGCCGATGACTGGGCCCTCATTACACGATGCAGAACATTAGAAACGTCTGAAGAAGTTCTGACGGCAAACTTATATATATTGAGCAAATATTTTCGCAAGCGGCGATTTCAACCAAATGCGTCCAAAACAGAAGTTCGCTGCTTTCACCTAAACAATAAACTTGCTGGAAACGAACTCAATATACAGTTTGAAAATACTACACTTACCAACAACAAAACACCAAAGTACCTGGGCATAACACTAGATAGAACGCTATCATTTAAAGAGCATTTAACAAAAACTGTCCAAAAGTTGAGTACAAAAAATAACATTATACAGAAGCTCTGCAGTACCACCTGAGGAGCATCGGCTTTCACTCTCCACTCAACTGCCTTAGCCCTTGTTTTCTCGACCGCTGAATAGTGTGCTACAGTTTGTCTACACAGTTCACACGTAAAAAAGGTCGACACTTAATTGCATAGCACTATGAGGATGATAGCGGGTACAATTAAATAAACTCCCACCCAATGGCTTCCAGTATTAAGTCACATCCCACCTCCTCGTTTACGACGAGTTGACGCACTTACACGTTAATACAAAAAGATCGTGAACAATATAAATCTGCCAATCTACCAAGATACCGAGGATGTACGAAATACCTGACTC